GGAACTCTTTCTATAGCTTAGACTAGCCTCTGTTTTGGGCAATCTAGATACCCTACTCTCCCAAGTGCTGGGATTCCAGGCCTCCTTGTTCTTAATAGGCTTTGCTCCTTACTGAGGAGTCCTGGAGGTTCTGGCTAATGATTTCTTTTGGTTTCGTCTGTTGAATTTTTTCACATCCATCTGGAATTTTAGCATTTGCAAATAGCCAAGTGCGGAACATGTAGAATTCTGAGTTTTATTAATCTTGGCAGAGACGAACACCCTTGAACTCCGAACACTAGGCATTTGAGGAAGCAGGAGGCGCCTTCCCCCAGTCCATGTGGTGTAATTGGCCTCACTGCTCTCATTTCTTCAAAATCCTCACTGTGGTTCCCAGGGTAAGAAAGAGAAAGTAAAGATTGCAACATTTAGTCTACTGGCTGAATTCAACCCTTGAATGTATTTTGCACGTCCTTCCTAGAGGGGCAAAAGGTCGTTTAGTTCATAGCCAGCACTTCCAAATGAAGACCTTCCACCTAAAATGCTAGATTTCTGCACCTTGAACAGGTGGTAATTAGCAGCACTGTGGTCTTGCCCCTCCTGTGACGCTCCCTGGGCAGGGCCCTCAAGAGCTCCTCCTCCCTAAGCCTCGTTAATCCTGGCATTCTCTTTCTCTAGTCTTCCTCCTCATCCTTACCTCACCTTCCTGAAGCATTGCAGGGGTATCAGTTGTTTTTCCCGTGACATCTTGAGCTTGAATATGAACTGTTGAGGGAAACAAACACGAAGGGAATGACCAAGGTATTGAGAAAGGGTAGGAGCTTTGGAAACAAGGTCAGTAGAAACAAAGATCTACACGAAAAGCCTCCTCCTCCCTGGAGGTAAATCCCTAAAAGGAGTCAAGTTACAAAGCAAACAAGCAAGCTAATTAATAACATTGAAAATGGACAGTCCAGGGCAACCAAATTGTGGTGTGCAGATTCCAGTGACCCACCCCAGTTTTAGGAACTCAATCAGACCACATACCCAACTCCCCATGTGTCCATGGACCTAACCAAGAACTCAGGCAGAATACAAAGGTGTCACCCACAGGTCTGACCCAGACATTCAACCCCTAAGGACTGAAACATGGTAAAAGACCTCAGGAGCCTGAGAACAAGCCCCAGGTCCACTCCACCTGGAATACCCCCACACTTTGACTTTGGGACTCAGCAATGGGGGGCATTGCTGCTTCTGTGTGCATCCTGGCCCTGATGAACACAGAAGGTAAATGAGAGCCAAGCCCAAATGGATGTAGTACCAAGTTCCCTGCAGTAGAAATAATTGCCAATAGGCACGTCTATGCCACTAAAGAGAGGGAATTGAAACGGAGAACTTAGCGCTCAATGGGCCAGGCCACCTGCTGTTTCCGGTTCCAGCTCCCTGCTGAATTAGAGATGAAAAGCTGCCCAGTATTTAGGAAATCTTGAATACAAAATTGCTTCATACAGCTGTGTTTTTCCTGCCCAAGTGAAGAGGAAAACTTAACTGGGAAGCCCATCTGTTTGGGGACTGTTAATGTGTCCCTAGGCTCTCCTGTAACACATACCTGTAGAAGGAGGTAGAGAGGCTGAGATCCTGGGAAGGAATTCTGCTTCAGAGCAGTGTTGGAGACAGAGACGAAGCAAGATGTTTAGTTCTAAGTTATAACTCTCTGTTGCTCTTGTTGTGGCTTGAAACTGTTGAGATGACAGGAACTTAAAGTCTGTATCTGCATTAGCTTTGAGCCAGTGACACCTTCTAAACACACCATTTTCTCTTTTTCTTTCAAGATTTACAGTTTTTACTCTCTACAGTGTGTCTTTTCAAGAGTTCAGTAATTTCTTGAGATAATTAGGCACAAAGAACAAAGTGGTATAATTACTAGCTCATTTTAGATTTTTTTCCTCTGCTTGTTATGATGTTGTTTGCAATCTAGCAAGTTAATATAGACTGCTTAGTGTTTTTATTTGCTGGGCACTTGCCCCAGAGGAGAAGGCTGGTTTCTGATTCCAATTGCCAACCGAGACTGAGTTTGGGGCCCAAGAAAGGCAGAACGTCTGTTGGGTGTCTGACTCTATCCCAGGAGCTTGTGACAGGGGAGAGAGAACACTTCTTGAAGTCACTTACTTTAAAATGCACACTAGGCTTTGCCATGCAGTTTCTTCTAGGCTGGCCATGACCAGAGCCATCTTCCACCAGGGTACTTGTGATCCCTCTCAGGAGATCAGGAGATCCGGCATGTTAACATTCCTTCCTGGAGGAAGCAGGGAGGCTCAGGGCTCACAAGATTCTGGAAGCTCTGGAGGCCCCGCCCCTCTCATCCTTGGTTTAGCTGCGCCCCCCCCCCCCCCGG